ACAGTTAATGGATAAAGGAAAACTTTATGTAGTCTGGGTACATTATAATACTCACAGCTTCCACGGAATGATGCCAGTTATATGATCTGGAAGTTCTCGGCAGGTAAAACGAAAAACGTCATTTTTAAAATTGTCACAAACACCATTTATCACTACAGAAACAATGTGGTCACTTTTTATAGAAAACACTACACTTAACCTTGCTTTCACTTGGGAGCAGTTCCACGTCTGATTTGTTTTCCCGCTAATTACTCCATGAAGCGCCAAAGGCTGTGCAATATCGAATATCCAATCGACAACAGCATGCGACTATCGAGTATTATTCAAGATATTCGATTTACAGTTGCCGCGCCGGTACGTATCTGTCGTTCGGAGACAGGCCGGCAGGTTGGAGTACTGCATGCAAGAAACCAGCAGGGACAGGAGGCAAGTTCGGCTCAATTTTAATAAATCAATTTCTCATAGTAAAATCACTGAATCTTGGATCCTCAATGCAAATCAGAAATAATATATTTTATTTAAATAAAATAGCATCTGATGAAACAAGACATTATCTAGATGAGATTAAAAATGTCCACCAGATGTCTCTATCTGTCTCAGTATGCACGGCAAATATTTTAAAACAATAAATGATTTGTTTACAAGGTTTACAAAGAACGATGAATTCATACACTTGCTCTCCAATCTATGGTCTACCCACTTCAGTGTAATGTGAAGACGCGTGATTTTATTACAGGATATGGTTGTTTCATGGGTCAAATACCGGAAAAACAAACGTTTACTGGCCTAATCTTGGTGATGACCTTCTAGTCTCTCTTTTTATCTATAATGCAACAAATTAATATAATTAATTCACACAATGCCCGTTAAATGTGTAAAATGTTATTAAAATATATGAACATGTTATGTTATTACTGTTTCGTCCTTACAAGGGCACCTTCAGGCGACACTTTTTTATGAATTCTAATTCACTGTATGCTAATCCTATATAATTATAGATGGAAAAGAAAAAGACTATAAAAGGTACATCAGTGCAACAGGATGCGGAATTATGACATTTCTCTGTAACCTCAATGGAACTTCTACTAAATTACACTGTACTGCAATCCGCACTAGACACTTCTCTTTTCTATCAACTGTAACAAATGTTTATCAGAAAACTAATCCCATGTTTAAATGCAGTTCACTCCACATCATGCAAATGTATCTCTGCTAAGATGTTCTTCCTTTCTCAGAAGTATTTTTTGTGCCTTCACAAATGTGAAGACATGAATCCTTGGCAGCTGCAGCAAATCTCCAGTCTTTCTACTTCACCTACCTTTCTTGCCAACATTTACCTGTTCCATCATTCATAAATATTTGAACTTGCCACATTTTAAGGGTTTATTTACAATGTGATATTATATGATGTATACATAGGTTTCTCTGTTTATTCCCTTCTTGCTAACATCTAACTAACGTGGGACAAAGTTGCTCGCATCCGTGACATTGTCCAAGTCATACGTGTCCCCTGGGTAATGCAAAATGAGCAACAAACCTGGCAAAGCTTCCCAAAAGAAAAGTGCAAACTTCTTCAAGATGCAACAAAGCAAGAACTTGAGTGCTGTTAGAAACCAAGAAGCAAATGATCCCAAATGCAGCCACTGGAAACCAACCAACCAACATGTAACTAACTTCTTATCCTTTTCTTTGTGAAATTGATATTTTGACCACTAAATTAACATGATCAGCATAAGTGATATTTGAGTGACACAGACAGTGCCTATCAAGATTACCATCTTCTGGGAAGTGACTATAGATGTTTTGGAGGAAGCTATTGCCTCCCTCTTCAGTTTCGCCTAAAGACGTTACTCTGGAAGGTCAGTAGTGATCTACCAGACTACACGAATTCACATCACAGAAAACATTAATTTTCATGATCAGTCTGGCTCGTACAGCTGAGATGGATGTCAGCTGGAATCTAAGTTGATTTCCTTTCTTTATAGTCTATAATTTATTAATTAATAAGGGCAAAAATGTCAGTTCAGTAGGCTGGACTGCCTAGCCGAGATACGTTGGAACCGCAACCAAGGATATCGTGGAAGGACACAATCTTGGAAACATGTCTTTAAGATATATTTAATAAAGAGGGCACATGGTACTGTAGCTGGTTGAGGCACTATGCTATAAGCCAGAAGGTCATTCCTGATGAGGTCAGGTTTTTTTATTGACGTAATCCTTCCAGCCGCACTATGGCCCTGGGGTCAACTCAGCCTCTAACAGAAATGAGTACCAGGAATCTTCCTGGGGGTAAAGGGCGGTTAGTGCATAAGACTCATAACCTCACCGCCATCTGTGAGCCAACTGTCTAGAAAATGTGGGAGCCTTGAAATCTCACAACCCTATGGGCCTCCACAGCCTGTTACAGGGACAGCTTTACCTTACCTTTATACCATTTGTTCAAGTGTGGCTTCCAAAACACATGACTATCCCTAGAATGTCACCTCACAAACACTGATACCTATCTGGTTCCCTCTCTGCCTCCATAACAAGGTTTCTAAATAAGTGAATAAATTAGTAAGTAAAGGCAAAATGTAGCTGTCCTTGTGTTTAAGTGCCACATCATGAAGGCATAAGGACTAAAGAAGAATGATGAAACACATTTATGGAAATTGCTTTTGAAAAGCAAGACAAAACAGTGGCTAAGGGAAAGTAAATGTTAATGAGACTATCATTTTTATTGGCATGACGTTACTGTACATCTGTGTAAAATACCAATTCATTAATTTCAAACACTACTACCATCTCTGTCTTCTTATAATGGCAGATGGTGTGATACACAGAGATGCTGTTCCAAATGCTATTACAGCTGTAACACGTGGCATCTTGTCTTCCTACCCTCATCATTAGTTGGACCAATGAGAGATGAATTACATTACATATTGTCAAGTATGATGATTACATTACCAGCTATATTGCCCCCTTTATAATTACAATTAATTATACCAGCTTGCAATCAACGACTGTCTAAAGGTGCATCCACATTACTCGTGCTCGTGTGACTCGCTATGCTCGCGAGTAATGCGGACGATATGACAAGTCACGAGACAAGCAAATTTTAAATTTTTAATTTAAAAACTATAGCCAATAAATTAAAATACGACTACAGCCTATATACACTAGGAGTAAATATACGGATCCTCACGCACTGAAGCCTGGCGAGCAACTGAAGTAGTGTGGACAAAGATTTACGAGCACAAGTAAAAGCCAGACGAGTCTACCGACGAGCACGAGTAATGTGGATGCGCCTTTAGACTCGCGCCATTCCTGACTGGACTATGAGTGTCTTCTCTTCCACTGTGACTGACTTGGTTCTGATTTGCAAATCAGTCACTTCTTCTACTGCAACTGCTTTGAATGAAGAGTGTCTTACAAAGGACTCCTTGAACTTTCTGACAAATGCCAAATGACCAAACTCTCCTGAACTGAACAAACTTCCAGGCAAACTGAACATAGATCATCATGTCTTACAGTTCCTCTGTTAGTCTGTTTTTTTTTTCATTGCCACGGGAACGTGCTTACCATATCTTTGCCTGACAGTGGACTTCCGCAGCTGTTTGCTGCTGCAAGAACATGTGCTTGTCGAACCGTTAGCCAGCAATGGATTTCTGCTCTGGCTCCACTAATCCAGCTTTCAGGAGTCATGTCACAAATATGAAACAGTGAAAACTTTCAGCGATATTTACATTTTCACAGCGGTGACTATTCTGGGATGTGCCACTACACAGTCTTGCAGGTGTTTACGGATATTTTTGAGGAATTTCCTATCTCCAACTTCAGACTAGAAGAGTAAGCTGTGTGGGACAAAACACTCAGTGATATAGGGACAGGAGGACAATGGCTGGGGCTAAGAGCTCCTAGTTTTCAACCCGGAAGATAGAAGCAGCAGGTTCCTCTGAAACACTTGTCAATGTATACCAGATTACATGATATCATATCTCAGAGGACAGTATCTTCTGGAACTTTCAGACTTGTACTCATCATCACAGTGCTATTTTCATATAGAAGTACGTGTTCATTTTCTAGCAAAAACTCTATTCTTTTCANTCAGACTTGTACTCATCATCACAGTGCTATTTTCATATAGAAGTACGTGTTCATTTTCTAGCAAAAACTCTATTCTTTTCATTAAAATGAGGTGTACTAGAAATGTCTTCAGAATTTTTTAACAATCCCATGTCAAGTCACATCAGAAACTGCAGAACCCAACACTTTATTATCCAATGTCTTGGCTGTTGTCAAAACATGAAGCACCTCCCATCATGACATCTAAGAGGATTTCTAGTGTATCATCAACCTGACATCCAAGAGTTGCATCAGTTCTGGAAGGTAAAGAATAAATTTTTAGAATAAAGGCAGAAGTAACCAGGATACAATTGCTTTCCTCATCAGTATCAATACATAGCAGGTAAATTTTGCAAAAGGAATAACATGCAAATGCTCTAGTAATTCTCAATGTCTGATATCACATATTTGGTGCAAATGAATTAAACACTCCCCTATCTTTGGCATTTCAACAACAGTGAATAATATGTTATCACACATTTTTATAAGACACTACAATCATCAGCCTATGCACTTGGCACTTCAATTAGTAACACACACCATAACAATCAATCAATCAATCAATATACTCACATTTTTCACAAAGAGAAACAATGCATAGTGAAACCCTCAATTAAAGCTCCTTTTGGGAACAGTGGATTTGTACAGCCGGTAGCGTAGTTGGTTAAGGCACTATGCTACAAGCCAGAAGGTTGTGGTTTCAAGTCCCGATGAGGTCATTGCATTTTTTTTCAATGGACCTAACTTTACAGAGGTTACAATGATTGCCTTAAAGAAAAAGACAAAAGCTACAAAATGCAGCGACCATCGCACAATAAGCCTTATTGCACATACAGCAAAGATAATAGCAAAGATACTTAAAAGNCAAAGTTTACAAGGGTTCTTTACAAACATGCACAAAAACTATCATATATATGTCTTTGGTTGATGAGTGCCAAGAGAGCAAAGAAGGGAAGAGATTGTCAAAGCGTCAAAACACGCCAACACCAGGGAACAGCTGGCATCGTCCGGGCGTTAAAACGCCCGCGCCAGTCAAAGAGTTAAAATGAGGTGTACTAGAAATGTCTTCAGAATTTTTTAACAATCCCATGTCAAGTCACATCAGAAACTGCAGAACCCAACACTTTATTATCCAATGTCTTGGCTGTTGTCAAAACACGAAGCACCTCCCATCATGAGATCTAAGAGGATTTCTAGTGTATCATCAACCTGACATCCAAGAGTTGCATCAGTTCTGGAAGATAAAGAACAAATTTTTAGAATAAAGGCAGAAGTAAGCAGGATACAATTGCTTTCCTCATCAGTATCAATACACAGCAAGTAAATTTTGCAAAAGGAATAACATGCAAATGCTCTATTAATTCTCAATGTCTGATTATCACATATTTGGTGCAAATGAATTAAACACTCCCNAGCGTCGTTAAATTAGAAAAAGAGGGAAAAGTCACCGATTCTCATTTGATTCCATAGCATCTGCAAAACCTTGACGGTTAACATAGAGCTCAATCACGCATACAATCAATCAATCAATCAATCAATATACTCACATTTTTCACAAAGAGAAGCAATGCATAGTGAAACCCTCAATTAAAGCTCCTTTTGGGAACAGTGGATTTGTACAGCCTGTAGCATAGTTGGTTAAGGCACTATGCTACAAGCCAGAAGGTTGTGGTTTCAAGTCCCGATGAGGTCATTGGATTTTTTTTTTCAATGGACCTAACCTTCCAGCTGCACTGTGGCCCTGGGGTCGACTCAGCCTCTAACAGAAATGAGTACCAGGAATATTCTTGGGGGTAAAGGGCGGCCAGCACGTAAGGCAGACAACCTTGCTGCCATCTATGAGCCAATTGTCTGGTAAATGTGGGAACCTCAACATCTCACAACCCTATGGACCTCCACGGTATGTTACAGGGATACTTTTACTTTTTTATTTTACTTACCTGAGGAAAATCTTAAATGAAGGAAATTTAATAGTGAGATTACTGACTTCAGATTAACGAAACAGAATGTGAAGTGAGAAAATACCTTAATTTGAAGCACATTAAATGGGGGTTCCATTGTATAATGATATTGAAATGGATAAAAAAAATAAAAACAGGGTTTCTTAATAAATAAATGGACCACACTTATGCTTAAATTCATCTGCACGGAAATGTTTCCAAAGTAAATTTTATGCAACCATACGATTTCTATGAACTGCTTCTTGTACTAAAGAAGACAACAGTGACCAAATTTAATCCACATGGAAATTTTCCCTGTGACAACCTTTTGGCATTAAGGCACACATGTAAAAAAAACGAAATGTTTCTTCATCATAGCATTCGGCAGGTAAGGCACAACAGATCACTGTGGTCGTGATGCAAAGGCCAAGAAGGCCCACCCCTTATACATTTATTCAGCAGATACTTCAGCTAGCTAGTCAATAATACGAATACTATGTACTATTCTGCTAAGGACTGTCATGTTTTTTTTATTTGTCTCATTTTTTACATAGAAATTTTAATACAATTTTAAACGCATTGGGAGGCAACTGTATGGAAAAGTGAACTTCATATTGCGTGCAGTGCAAAAACCCCAGTCAGAATAACCAGCAATTACACTTAAAAGAAGCATCATCATAAGTAAATCTACACTTCAAGAAGAGCCATTGTGAGTGCCTAAGACAAACATCAATACCAATCACGATAATATCAAAATTTATATAGTGAGCATTATTCATAGCTTAAATGCATATTGTTTAAAATATCTTATGCGACAGTGTTTCCTTATCATAGTGGTGCGCCTCTGAAGATGGTTCTTTTGAATCGAAACATGTAAGGTGAACGAGGATTGAAGTGTTGTGAACTTGTATGTCACATTAGACTGAACATTACCCACTCTGTAACTGTCATGTTACTTGTATTGAAGGCCTTGGAAACAGTGGAATAAAGAAGGGAATACTTAGGATTCATAGCAAGGCGTAGGTGGGTGGACAATATTAAAATGGATCTTAGAGAAATAGGATGGGTTGTTATTGATTGGATTGATCTGGCTCAGGATAGGGACCAGTGGAGGGCTCTTATGAACACGGTAATGAACCTTCGGGTTCCATAAAACGCTGGGAAATTCTTGAGTAGCTGCAGAATTGGTGGCTCCTCCAGAAGGGCTCAGCTCCATGAGTGAATAAGTAAGAAGGAACAAGAACCATGCATGACAGGAGAGACTGAATGAGCATATCTGCGGCCAGAAATTTAATAGAAGAAGTTGCAAAAAATGATTTTTGTGACAGGCAAGACATCCAGAGGTGAAGGGTTTCTGAACCCTAAAAGAAGCTTTTGGTGATTTTTTTTAAAAGCACAGTGGTTCAAAAGTTCAACTTCCATATTTCTCAAACCTAAGAACAGCATTTGGTGATCTCTGAAAGGTAAGACTAAACCAAAAGTGCCAAGTGTCCTGAACTCACACAGTTGGCGTTTCACGCTGGCATATAGTTCTGGGGTCCGAGGCACACCTATGCCTGGCTCAAACTCTACATTTGGGACTTCACCCTCTTGTGCCCTCCTTGATAAACCATCGCGAGACTCGTTATATTGAATTTCCATCTCTGGTTCCTTCGTCACATCTTCTCCTTTAGCGCGGCGATCAGCAAGAATCAATTCCTGCAGAAAAAATATGCAGAACAATGAATGAAAATGTACTGAAGTTCAGACACTCATATTTAGAGATGCGGGATATTTGGTAACACACCAGCAGTGAAGATATCTGTCTTCTGAGGTGCGATGTCATGTAGTCTGGCAGACAGACAGCATTTAGAAGGACATACTGCGTTTATTTCCAGCGAAGAGACATCCTTCACGCTGTTGGTACCTATCTACCAAGCTACACAGTCACATCCCATAAGCTCTTACAGGGTTTTTGTCAACTTCAGGAATGGTGACAGACAAACTGAGACATATGGTCACCAGTGACAACCAAAACCTTTAGTGACTCATCATTTGGAGTTGCCTTTGGCATTTTGGCAATGTCACTTGGCTGTTTGTGGCATGAAAGCAATGGCAAAGCATTTCAAAGAAGATAATATCAACATAATAAGACACAGGAATTAATCACTCTTTTATATTCAATTTCCCCACCTCAAAAGTATCTCATGTCTGGCCTGTCTGTGTTCAGGAGAGAGAGTATGACATGATCCTATGTGATTGTCAGGCTATAGCTTATTTAAGGTATCGCCACCTGGGTCAATTCTTCATGGAACCAAGTGACCTTTATGATGCCCCCATAAACAAAGTCCTACATTTCATTCAAAGTGTAGGATTAATAAAGGGTTAATCCAATGGGGAAGCACAATAGACCATTGAATATCACAGTGCTAGGGACAGTTTTATGGCTCACCCCTCATACTCATACATAGCATGACATGATGAAATGAGCTTGTGTGCTAATCGAAGGCAACAGGCATGGCACAGTGACAAAAACACTCATTCACATTTTTCTGCAGAAAAAATTGTTTGCCTATCAGATTAGGAAAAAAAAAATCGTTTGACTTCTGGTGATAAAATTAGTATGAAACAGTTGTAGAGCAATCACTGGTAATAAGAAACTGAAATTTCTCAAGAAACCTGTCCCAGTAGCACTCTGACCATTCAGAATTACATTTGCCTAACTAAATTTTTCACAAAAGTAAATAAACTGGACAAATACAGAAATATATTCAAACATGGGAAGAATATGCTTCAAAGTTGCTTCCACTTGTAAATAATGCAAAACACTGCACAAATAAAAGGTGATTCACAAGCCAATATGGTGTAAAAACATATATCAATTATTATTATATAGTAAAATGTTAACTTACCCTCAACAAAGGCGGAAATGGCACAGTCCGAGGTAAGATTTTTACTTTCTCCAATGGAAGATGAGACTGTGTCTTGCAATATTCTTCTTCTTCATCCTTTGGAATCAATCGATAATCTGCCTTATATGAGACGCTACATACTTCTACAATTTTGGGATATTTGCGGCCTCTAAAAACTTTCTCAGCCCAAACTCGAACTTTACGAGGATCCTGGAAGATATAAAATACATGAATTGGGAAAGGTTCACAAGATGGCAGAATTCTAACAGAATGAAACACAGGTCATCACAGTTATGCAGTGTCCCATCAGTTACATTTATATAAAGGTAAAATGTGGAGAGACTCCTGTAACAGGCCCTGGAAGCCTATATGGCTGTGAGACGTGGCTCCCACATTCTCTAGTTGGCTCACTCATGGCGGTGAGGCTGTCAGCCTTATATGACGAGAGCCCTTTACACCTGGGAATATTCGTAGTACTTATTTCTGTTAGAGGCTGAGTCAAACCCAGGGCCATAATGCAGATGGAAGGATTAGGTCAATTGAAAAACCCAATTGCCATATTGGGGATCAAACCCACAACCTTCCAGCTCGTAGCAGTAGCTCAGCCAACTATGCTACCGCGTGCCCTGGTTAGATTTATAGACCATCTAAAAATCTTAACCTTATATGACAAGCACAAGTGATAGCACTCTCCCTGTCTGACCTAAAATAAACACAAACACACTAATATCTGTGAAGGAGCATCACATTTAAACTTACTGTAATACTGTTAATCAATGGAATAACAGATCGCCAGGGGCTGCAAGAGCTCCACCTTTCCCCAAGGTGAGCTTACTCTGTGTGATATTAAACATGTTCAAGGGTACAGACTATATAAAAGTGATAAAAGATATGTCAGCACCTAAACAACAACCAACAGGTTTCATCCCGGAGTCCACACAGGACTGTAAAACAGGAGCAACATTCAACAGTAGCAAGAAAACATGCATACAAAAGAAGTACACAAACACGCTCAAAAGATAAAATAACTTCACGATACTACATAAGAAAATAAGGAAGAAATGCATATAGAACTAGCAGCAACAATTTATGCGAATAATCATTCACATTAAACAAACATTAACAAGGAATTCCAGAAGACATCATCACCTTCTGATATACAATGTGCATCATGGAAGCCCACATCATATCATTGAGTCATAAACACTAAACAATTTTAGCACTAAAGATTAACTATAATATGAAAAATACCAACACATATTATAACCAGATATAGAAATGAAAGGACTGTTAAAATAATACTACTAACGATCCATATTGGAGTAATTCAAGAAACTGCCTGATGATGATCCTAACCGGAATCGAAACATGTAGCAGCCGCTAAATAAAATCGATGTTGTTACAGTGATATTGAATTTGTATGAAACTTTGTTGTGCGGACGGCCACAATAAAAAAAAATTCGTTATTAAAATTTTGAGGTTATGTAAATGCATATATTCGAGAAATGGGATATACAGCGCAAAAAAAGAAAATGACTGTTATGTATATGACAATATACGTTGAATAAAATTGTTGTTACTTGTCTGAACATTAAACAAATCATTGCAGCCAGTCCTAATATATGTAACACACCTCATTTGCTAATCCTTCAACTTTACATATTTTCAGGTAACTTGGTTCAGGATAGCGTTCAAAAACACTTCTCACAACAATTCTTCCCACACCAAAATTCTTCAAGTTTCCAACAATTTCCCATAACGTCTTCCCCTTAAAAGATGTGGTTCTCCCGATGTATTTTATCGGCATATTTACTCTATATATACACGACGGGTAATACGCCTTCACTTGTCTTCCACGCCAACGGGTCTGCAACTTGACTGATACGAATTTCCCTATCATCGTATTACGACGATAAATTTACTTCTGAATTATGTTGTCAGGCTTAGATATCTAAATCGATCTAACTATCCCCCCCCCAAAAAAGGGTGACGTGTAGCAATATTATGCAAATTACATATTCTTAATTTTTTAGCGGATAGAAAGAAGCTCTTAAAGAAAAGAAAAAAATTCCGTGTAAGATTACATGCGAGCAAATGCACTAAAAGTAATGACATGAAATCATATAGAATTGTTGAGGATAGGTTGAACACATTTTGTCCTCTCCGGCCGCTTTCGTAGATCCCAAGGCCGGTCTGGATGTGATTCAATGGGGAAGCAATCCCCTTGTTTCCATCTTACAGCTTCTTGGCTGCCCTCAGGGCAATGAAAAGACTACAACCATTTCTTTTACATACCTATACACCTACAGTACCTAGGCCATAATATGGTTCTGGGTTCATGGGACTAACAAAACATTGTTTGGTAAGTGAAGTAACAAGTGTTATTCATCATTTCTGTGGGGTGTGATTAGTAACAAGATCTTGGAGGACCATACTGCTGCTTCCATCTTCAAGTAAGTATGTTCCTTCAATGACACTGGTAACTACCTACCAGGTTACGTTTTGTCATAACCCAGAAGACAACAGTGTACTATATCATAGTATTCCTATTTGTATTTTTCTAATTATTCTGGAACATATGGTCATCCTACTTCAGAACCGTTTGATAATATATGAAACAAATAAAATACTGTATCCGTAAAGACATGTCTTCATATACAGTATTACAAATCTGACTATGTGTCCAACTTTTTTGCCATCTATGTGCACAGTCAAACACATAGTCAAATCTACACAGTGCAACAGGATGCTTCAATATAATATTATTCATATCTCACAAAGTTTATAAGATATACAAATGAGCACACAATATTAACACAAACATTGATTACTTAAAGATATAACACGTTTCAGAGGCCCAAAATTACCTGTAAATGTAAATCACAGAATCTGATTTTTCAGGAGGTGAAGAAAATTTATGCACATTTTGTCAGCTAGAATGTGGAGGGTAAAAAAACTATAACATATACCAAAAAGAATATTAATATTCAAGACATGAGGTTCTCATGGCAGTGACTATTAAAATTACTATCTTCTCCTCTAACACGGTGCGGTTGGCTAAGCTGGAGGAACAGGCTGTCTGTACCGCACTACACAATGTTACCTGCCAGAAGACAGCAATTTTAAATCTTGGTATTGATATAAGCATCATATTATCCTAAAAGCATGTTTGTTGGCCTCATCATGCTTGGTATCAGCCTCGAGAAGAAAACATAAAATACACTAGGAGATATGACAGATTTGAAGGTGCATATCAGTTATTTGTCAGCAAATAAAGAGAGCTGAATAAGAACACAAAACATACTGTTCACAGTTAACAAGCATTTGTCATTATTCCTAAAGNCAGAGTCAATGTCTGCCCCTGGAAGCGTCTTCACATCCTTCACACTTTACTGAAAGAAAAATATTTGGTGGTTTTACAAGATCACAAGTGTGCATGCTTAAGCCTTGTTGTTTAGGAAAAGGGGATTTAGAATACCTCAGTGTCATGGGACCAGTGAATAAGGAGTAATGATATTAATATTAATATATTACAAATGCAATGCCTGGTCAGCTGCGCAGCACGCATGCACCAGCATAATAATACAAAGCAGTCACCAGTTTCTGCATGACGGGTGACATGTTTCAGAACACATGTGCCATCTCCAGGTCCTCAAACATTTGAATACATACATAAACTCATATTATGTGGCAAGGTACATGTGATATGTATGTATGTATGTATGTATGTATGTATGTGTGTGTGTAAAGTAAAGGTAAAGTTATCCCTGTAACAGGCTGTGGAGGCCCATAGGGTTGTGATACGTTGAGGCTCCCATATTTTCTAGACAGTCGGCTCACAGATGGCAGCAAGGTTGTCAGCCCTTGTGCCGGCTGCCCTTTACACCAAAGAATATTCCTGGTACTCATTTCTGTTAGAGGCTGAGTCGACTCCAGGGCCATAGTGCAGCTGGAAGAATTAGGTCAATTGAAAGAAATCCAATGACCTCATCAGGACTTGAACCCGCTACCTTCCAGCTTGTAGCATAGTGCTTCAACCAACTATGCTACTGCGTCCCCCCTTGTATGTGTGTATGTATGTCATATTGCATAATGTATCCGTTGGAATAAAGGATCAAAATTATTCTTAGATATTGTAACATGAGGCTTCAAAGCCAGAATAGTGAGGCCAGAGGAGAAATTCATTACCAGACAACGGCTCAGTAAGCACATGCCCACAGTAACGAATATGCAAGCAACGATAGAGGTATTATTAGAAACGATATTTTCTATTCAGTCCGTGCAAAGTGGTTATACTTGAGAGAGAGTTGAGAATCGGCAGTCGAAGATAATTGAGAAGAGATGGCAATGAGTCTGTTGAGGGTCGGCAGTGCAGCTGAGCTGGGCAAGGGAAGACAAGAAGAGTTGACAGTCTGACAAAGAGTTCTGCACGTGGCGGCTGTGAAGGTAGAACATGAGCACGGGAAGCTGAAGAATCTCCACTGTTAGAAGCCGTTGCCGGGAAACGGCTAGTTAAGACACGGGAGGCTGCAAAAGGCTTAGCGGGTGTTGTGGTTATGTGTAAAGTGTGGAGTTTAGCGATGGCGCTGTAATTCCGAGTGGTGCCTACAAATGGTCATTAAATCCAATTATCCAGTCAATACCCCGATAGTCATCACATATCTAAACCATTAACTGTGGGTAGGAAACCGAGTGGTGTGGGACGAAAATCCACCCGAACTGAGTCTGTGTCCGTGGGAGGGAGCGCGCATGTCCGTACGTGTGATTGTTGCGCGCGCGTGTCTTTGTGTCCGTCCGTCTTGCCCTTCCACAGGTTAACTCGCCACAGTCACAGGATTCCCCTGTGTGCCTCACCTGGGTAAGGGAAGGAAAGAAGGTGGAATACGATGAAAACGGAACCCCGATCCCTCGGTCAGCCACCCCGTAACCTAATCTCTAAATTGACTAGGTTATCCCGTCGCCTTTATGAGCGTCAAATCAAATTCATTAACGATGAAAAGAAAACACACGCAAATGAGTGAATAAAATTAAAACGACTAAGAGAACGGAACAGAAAATCCTGTTTCTTGTTCTTCCAATGATTAAGGAAATTCCTTTCCCTGAAATTAAGGATCCAAAAAAGAAAAAAAAACAATTAGATGTGCGAGGAAGACAAATGAGGGCATTAGGTACAGCTTTTCTCCTCAGCTCTCGGTAAACACCTTTTCAACGTGCTCCATGAATCACTCCACTCTTTTGTTTCTGCGCCGGCGCCCCACTACATGGGCGACAATACTCCTAACACAGCGTAACGTCATTTCATCTGATGATGGGAAATTAGCCAGAGGGTGCCGTTGGTCTTCTGTATTTTTCCGGCGTCAGGGGTAGCCACCTTCTGGGCAACAAATTTAAACTATTTGCATATTGTGAACACCGTCTCTCCCTTTCCCCGTCCCTCCTTTCTTTAGTCCCATCTTTCGTCTCTCTCTTTTCGCCTTACTTTCTTATCGTTTCCCTCGTCTTCAGTTTTCTCTTCTTCCGTTGGGCAAAAATAGTAGTGAATCTTAAAGTATGGACAACCCTGGTCTGTGTCGTAACAAGAATATTGTTGTGTGAGAGTTTTAATCAATGCCAGCAAGATTTCTGTCAAAAATGGAAGAAGAGTGTTGGGGGTGGTGGGGGGGAGGCTGTGTGAACGATGTGGCGAATTGTCTAACATCCTGGGTCGCATTGTTCACACCAGTAAAAGGATCGCAAGTCGCCTTTGCTTTTGTGACGTCAGTTAGATGTGATTAATAATAACTTCAACTAATATACAGGGTGTTCTATTTTTGAAGAAGGAAACTCAGTACATAAATGAGAAAAATGAACGCCGTAGTCTCATAGTAATTCGCCGATGTTACGGAGGGACGTACTGTCTCCATCATCAGGATAAAACACTAAACCGAGCAAGCGATATAGGAATAAAGAACTGAGGACGACGTTTGACTAGTGGACAAATGGGACTGGAACTTACCCAACTCCATAACTGCTACACGATAATGATGATCGGGCTCATTAGCTCTGAGACGGCGGTGCATTTGGCGATTACTCTCTTCTGTGATGTGATACCTGGCAGCAAGTTCCTGCGAACCGGCATCTGACTGACGAAACTGAAGTTAGACACAAAATTTTAGTCAGTATCCCCAGTCTCTGTGCGCAGAATTGAGCCAGAGTCATGCTACCCGCTCGACCGTGAAGGTATTTTATGGTTGTTGTTGTTATTATTATTGTCCGTGTATCAGTGACTAAAGGCGGGGTTCGGATTGGTAATTGAATTTAACCACCTCCAGTTCATAACTACAATCAATGCTTTACACAATTTACAATCACTCCAAACTAATCTCTTCAGTCTCTCTGCACCAGTCTTCACGGGTTTATAGTACAAGAACTATAACAGTCTGACCGAATCACACATTCCAAGTATTATACATAAAGTCTTGAAATCACGCGTTAAATCTTCACAGGCCGACTTATAATTCTTCAACCACGAACTTCCCGTGGCTATCTCCTACAGAGAATTGGCTTGCTTCCTTCTTCGCGTGCTCCTGCCGCTACTACTGCTCGTAACTCGTAACTTCCCTAAACGTCAAAATCAAAGTCACACTGTGACTGAGGGTCGGTCAGAACGAATTCTGTAACTTAATTATATGGCCGTGGAACGGACATGGACCTACAGTAAACATATATCACGTGATCGTTATTCAGCCAGTCCATTGGCGCGTCGGTCGGATCTACAGAAAACGCCACTTCATCAATTTTTGCGTGTTGGACCGTATTCACAGATCTGTTGCCTGGCAAGGCGTTGATAAAATCCGCTATATTATAATTAT